TGTTGATCATTATTAATTGTATCAATAATTGAAAAAGCTGCCATTGCTGAATTTTTCATATGATATATTGCTAAAATTACAGTTGAACGCGAGCCTTGTTTGTTTGTTTGTTTGATAGAACTTTTGTTCAGATTCAAATTTGTTGGAAATTAATTTTGAACAATTCTACATTTGAAAACGACCAAACACACACAAAAAAATTCAATTTAATTTGCAACATGTATAAAAATGACATTTTTTTACATTACAGGTGTGAATAACAGTCTTCTAATAACAGATGCTCGACACAGGCAACGCATGTAATTTTAATTTTAAATTTATTTGCTGTCGTATTGTTGGCTATTCATGAGTACTATATTAAAAGGGTGGTGGAAAAAAAGGGTTATATAGAAGCAAGCTTCAATTTAATGTTCAGCATAATATAATTGAGAAATAAATGGTGAAAGATTGGAACTCTGAGTAACTTTTTTTTCTAAGTATGAGAACGGACTTGATATATGATGCAAACAAACATGTATACGTAGCATTGGCCTAAGATCTATTACGATATAATTGATACTGGTATATTTTCTTTTGCAATATCATTTCAGTGTTCACTGAGATTCAGTACAATTTTTAGCTAAGTTGGATGAAAATGTGGGAGTGGCGTACAAAGACGAAACGTCATTTATGGTAGTTCCTGTATCGCTTGCCTCTGAAATTAAATGGCAGTTTATTATACGCACTGTGTTACTTTTACCGGGGTGATTGTGACGTTCATGGCAACCTACTTGCTTCTATTTTCATTCTTGCAAACCATATGGGTAGTTAAAGTTACATTATAGACGACTGTGGTGGCGCTGTTCATATTTGATTTGATGACGTTATAAAGAAATTTGATAACGTTACAATTGGGTTCGTGCGTAAATTAGCATAACTGATGACGTCACAATGGGACCCGTGCATACATTAGCAAAATGACCGTGAAGGGGTAATTTGAATGAGGATGATGTGAATGAATTTTCTAAAATAAAAAAAAACATTTGTACAAGGGAACATGCGATCGTCGTGAATAAATTTTCATAAATTACCACAATTCCTTTTTTTAAATTAGACGAGCATTGACGCAACGAAGGATTTTCTCAATGTATGTAAAGAGCGTTCACGCACACACACACACACACACCCACCCCCATACACACATTCACGCTGCTTACGCAAATAAATACACGGCATTTTTTCGAACGCCACGAAATAAACGGTTAGCGTGTACATGTATAGCTTGATTAAATACGAGTATGTAAACGATTCGATTAAAAAAACATAAAAAAGAGGGGAGTCAATAATAATCAGTGATAAATAAAAAAAATAATTAATTCTATATATAAATATTTTGTTGTTTTTTATAATTCTTACTTCCTTCCAATGAGTCTGTACACTATTTTATATCCCATCACTCTAATCAGAATCGCTCATTTGTTGTAGAAGAAAAAAAAGGGAGAGACAGTAATCTTAAAAACCGATAGTTATATAAAGAATGTATGAGTTATATGATGGAAATTAAAAGTATGAGTCATCTGGTGAAAATGCGGTCACTGAGTTCACAGGGAAACGTAATGATTTTCGTTTTCCCCGGCGTAGAAAAGATTCAACAGCCGTAGACCAAGCTTGACCTTTCGTGAAGGAATCATCTCATCGACATCTGCACAACGAATAATGCAGGACGTATTGGCCACATCATTGCTTTAAATCAAAGTATTCGATGATTGTAGATTCACCTACGAGAATTCTCTTAAATTCCATGTGATGACTACCGTATGAGTCAAAACATTTTTCGTGGTAAGGGTATTTTAGAAAGAAAGTGGCCCAATGCGTTCCACGCGCGAATATCATCGACGTTTGATACGAGCGATGCATGCTACTCCAACACACTCTCTGTGAATGCCAGTCCGAACTAAATCTCAAGATTAAATGTAAGCGCATAAGATTATTTGTAACTCGTTCATTATAAGTGTTCCCACGTGAAATATACCTCCCTCGAAGATGATAAACAACAGATGTT